GGGGCGGGGACAGTGGCTGTCCTGGCACATCTGCCCTTGCTGTCCATGTAATGGTGTCCATGCTCCCTTCCTGGAGCTGTGAACTCAGAGGCAGAGGGCAGCTTCATCCCACCTGGAGGCAGGGACCCCGTGTTTGCTCTCCGGGCTGCCTCTTCCCTGTGTGCCCCCCAGCCACGCAGGCCTCTCTGCTCTACCCTGGCTCACTGCCCCTCAGCTCCCGCCCGGGGCAGGAACAGCCTCTGCCTTCCTCCACAGCCTCTCCCTTGGTCACTGACTGACTCCCCGCTTTCCCTGGGCTCCCCTGGGTCCTCCCTGGTCACTCTGGAGGGACAGTGTCGCCTCTGGGGCTGCCCCACTATCTCTACATGGTCCCATTTGGTCAGCTCAGCTTTGGACAGTTTCAGTGCCCCGTTGGGTCTTGACAGAACACGCCCAATGGGTGTCCCCCAAGGACTGTCCCCCCTCTAGCACSGTCCACAGATCAACACCCACTGGCCTCCAAGCCCTGTCCTCTCCTTAGGGAGCCACTGGCATCTGCCAAGTTCTTCCAAAAGGAGAGGGGACCCCTGGCTGTGGGGTGCTCACCTGTGGTCCCAGCAACTCAGGAGGCTGAGGCAGGAGAAGTGCAAGTTCAAAGCCAGCCTCGGCAATGTAGCAAGGCCCCAAGTCACTTTGTAAGACCCGACTCAAAGTAAAGACTAAAAGGGCTGGAGATATGGCTCAGTGGTTAAGCACCTCTGGGTTCAAATCCCAGTACAAAAAAGAAAAAACAGAGGTGATCTAGGCTTATTAGTTATTTTTATAAATCATACAGTTTYTAAATGAGATGGGCTTTGTTTTGGGGGTTTTCCTGGTGCTGGGGGAGAACCTAGGGCCTGTGTATGCTAGGCACCTGCTACACCACTGACTGAGYCACACCCACCTCCGGTCAGATTGGTTTTAAACGAGGTTCCCAATAATTTACAAGTAAATATGAAACTAGATCTGTGACTAAGGGACATCTAATCCATGAGATAAAGTGCTTTCTAAAAGCCAGGACGAGGGGGCAGAGTTGGGATCCTGGGTGAGTGGCTGTGAGGGGCACAGCCGCTCCAGCTGGTGTTGGTCAGAGTGTGAGTGCACTCTAGAGAGACCGTCCAGTAAAGCCAGGTGGCRGCTGTCTGTTACCTGTGATCGCTGTAGCTAGGTGTC